TCAGCTTCTTCTTTTTTCTTAAGCTCTTCTTCTTGTTTTAATTTTTCTGCTTCCTCTTTCTTCTTGCGCTCTTCTTCTTGTTTTAGTTTTTCAGCTTCTTCTTTTTTCTTAAGCTCTTCTTCTTGTTTTAATTTTTCTGCTTCCTCTTTCTTCTTGCGCTCTTCTTCTTGTTTCAGTTTCTCAGCTTCTTTTTTTTTCTTAAGCTCCTCTTCTTGTTTTAATTTTTCTGCTTCTTCTTTCTGTTTACGTTCTTCCTCTTGCTTCAATTTCTCTTCTTCCTCTTTTTTCTTGCGTTGTTCTTCCTCCTGTTTTAACTTCTCATTTTCTTCTTTTTGTTTACGTGCCTCCTCTTCATGCTTCAATCGTTCTTCCTCTTCTTTTCTCATGCGCTCTTCTTCCTTTTGTCTCATTTCTTCCTCCTCTTCTTTCTTTTTACGTTGTTCTTCTTCTAGCCTTAATTTCTCAGCTTCCTGCTTTTTACGTTCCTCTTCTTCTAATTGTAGTTTCTCAGCCTCTTGTTTCTTACGCTGTGCTTCTTCTTTTAATTTCTTTTCCTCCTCTTGTTTTTGCCGTTCCTCTTCTTGTCTCAATTTTTCAGCTTCTTCTTGTTTCTGACGTTCTTCCTCCTCTCGTCTGAGTTTCTCTTCTTCTTCTATTTTTTTCCGCTCTTGTTCCTCACGTTGCAGTCTCTCTTCCTCTTCTTTTCGTTTACGTTCCTCCTCTTCGCGGATTAATTTTTCCTGCTGTTCTTTCTTTTTACGTTCTTCTTCTTCCTGTTTGAGTTTTTCCTCTTCTTTCTTTTTGCGCTCTTCTTCCTCGTGCTTTTTCTTTTCCTCTTCTTCTTGTTTTAGTTTCTCTTCTTCCTCCTTCTTTCTGCGCTCTTCTTCTTCCTGTTTCAATTTTTCCATCTTTTCTTGCTCCCTTCGTTCGTCTTCTTGTTGTTTTAGTTTCTCAGCTTCTTCGATCTTTTTTCGTTCCATTTCTTCTTGATTCTGCTTTTCAGCTTCTTGTTTTTCCCGTTGTTCTTCCTGTTTCAATTTTTCAGCTTCTTTCTTCTGTTTTTCTTCTTCCATTAATTTTTCAGCCTCTTCCTTCTTTTTACGTTCTTCTTCCTCCTGTTTCAGTTTTTCAGCTTCTTTCTGTTTACGTTCTTCCTCCTCCTGTTTCAGTTTTTCAGCTTCTTTCTGTTTGCGTTCTTCTTCCTCCTGTTTCAGTTTTTCAGCTTCTTTCTTTTTTCGTTCTTCTTCTTCCTGTTTCAGTTTTTCAGCTTCTTTCTTTTTGCGCTCTTCTTCCTCTTGTTTCTGTTTCTCGGCTTCTTCTTCCCTTTTCCGTCGTTCTTCCTCTTCCATCAACTTTTCAGCTTCCTTTTTCTTTTTCTCCTCTTCTTCTTTCTGTTTCTCAGTTTCCTCTTTCTTTTTACGTTCTTCTTCCACGTCTGCTTTTACCTCTTCCTCAACTCTCTCTTTCTTTTCTTTCTTGTCTTTCTTTTTCTCTTCATCTGTCTCCCACACTAGCTCTATGTTTAACACTTTGCCACGGAGCATGTTTACGGCGTTCATTAAATTTGAGATAGGGGTTTCCAGCTCCATGAGGCCTTCTCCACTTAAACTTTCTTTCCACAATGTCTCAGCCTTCTCAGTAGACCCTTCTAACTCGTTCAAACTTGGCATCACGCTCTTTAATATCCCAACAACATTCACCGGTTCTGATTGTGGTGACTCAGATGCAGGTTTATCGACAAACTGCTGTCGGACAGTAGCAATAGTCTTTTGAAGTTCTTTCAATGAATTCACTGACGCTTCTTCAATCTCAGCCTTCTCCAACACACTCTGAATTCCTTGCTGAAGTTGTTCTAGAGGTTTAACCAATGTCTTCAAAGCTTCTTTCTCATTCTGAATCTCCACTCCCAGCAAACCTTTGTAGCTTTCTATCGTATTATCAATCGACGTAATAGAATCATTCATTTCTTTAATAGAGTTTATCAGTTTCGTCGATATTTTAATAGTTTCTTCCACAGAAACAGTAGTCTCCTTCTTCTTCTTTTTCTTCTGACGTTGAACAGTCGCAGCAACTTCCAAAGCAGCCTGCACTTCCTTCAATGGCTTCTCTAAATTTTCAAGATACACTGTCGGGGACTCTTCTACTGTCATAATCTTTTCCTTCAGCTGCGTCAGAGACTCGACCAAAACTCCAATTATCGTTTCTTCGATACTTGTTGTCATGTGTACCTTCTCAGCAGCCTGTTCTTCGATAAATGATATACTCTTCTCGAGATTGGAGAGTGAATCTACGATAGCGTCGATACTAGCTTCTTCTTCGTCTATACTCATCTCAGGTTTATCTTTAAGCGCCAAGAAGCTTTCGTGCACCTCAGTCAGAGGTTGCACCAATGTTTTCACAGTCTCGTATTCAATATCTTCTATAGCCTTTTTACTTCCAATTATACTTCCCTCCATTTCAATGATAGTCGACCTTATAACCTCCACTGGTTCCACTAATTTCTCAACCACCGACCAATCTGGAGTCGCGATCCTCGAAAGTTCTTCAGCAATTCCAAGTGCAGGCTCCACTATGACGCATTCTCGAATTTCAGCTATAGATCTTTCGATCTCTTGCAGAGGAACAGCCAAACACTCCGTGATCCAACTCATCGATTCCTCAGGTATCGATTCTACGTCTGGAGACATCACTCGTTCTTCCAATACGGAAATACTCCTATGAAGCGTCATTAGAGGTTCAGCTAAAGCTGCCAGTAGTGATATTTCTTCCACTGCTCGATCTTCCGTTGATTCTATCAACATACGATCCTCTATTATCGCAATCGAATTACAAAGTTCTTCCAGAGGCTCGATCAGTGGGTTCAGCGTAGCCTCTGTCCTTTCTTCCGTATCGAATGATTTTTCTTTCGCAGACTCGATGGCTGTTTGCTCGTGGATGACAGACACGGCTGCATTTTTCAATTCCAACAGAGGTTGCGCCATAGTCTTCAGCAGAGACAGATCTTCTTTCACTGACAATGCAAGTGCAACCTCGTTTGCATCTATCGACTTTCGTTCCTCGACAACTATCGCCAGACACTCCTTCAGTTCGCTCAGAGGTTTCGCCAAGCCTTTCAACACTTGAGCCTCTTCTTCCGAGATCGATAGTGCCATCTCCGAAGGCGACTCTATGGTACCCTGGTCCACGATCATCGGTTTCGTGATCTGAACGCTTTGTTCCTCGACGACTTCAGCCCAGGTCTTCAAAGACGACACGTCTTCTGATATCGTGTCGGCTGCAGGTTCGATGACCATCTGCTGATGATCGATGGTAGCCACTCGTTCGACCAGGTCATGAAGAGACTTGGCAAACGTTTCGAAAGCAGATACACTTTCCTTCTTGGACAATTCATTCGCAACTTCTGGAACAGACTCGGTGGCCTGTTGAATGGCGGCTACCGAGGTCCTCAGATCTGTCAACGTTTGCGCCATTGTTTTCAATTGAGAAGCGTCTTCGACTTCGGATAAATTTTGTACTCCTTCTTCGATCATCATGTGCTCTTGAATTGCGGCGATTGACTTCTGGAACTCTTCGAGTATCGGTTTCAGAGTTGCTTTCTCGAAAGGCACTTGATCTGCTTCTAAATTCTCTGTAGCTTGTTCCATAACGTGTTCACCCTGAATGGCTGCGACGAAAGATTGCTCTAGACGTTGCAGAGGTGGTATGAGTTCGCTCAAAACGGTCACAGGTTTCTTCGTTTCTGACGTCTGCAGTACCTCTGCTTCTTGAAGTTTTATTTCTTCTATCGTAGAGATGGATTCTTGCAATAATTTCGCGGGTACGAGAACACTTTCCGATACTTGAGCCTGGAGTTTCGTTGGCTGTTCTAACTGGATTTTTCCTATAATTGTGGCCATCACCTTTGGTCTTGAAATAACTATCGAACATTGCTTCTTGAATTCTTCTGCGGCTTTTCCAAACGTTTGCAAGGCAGACGTGTTTTCGACGTCCAAAATTTGTTGATCAGCCTTCTCTATCATCGTCAACTGTTGGACTATAGCTACAGACGTTCTTAGATCGCTCAAAGCTCCTTCTAGATTCTTTATCGCAGCGAAATCTTCGGAATCTCCTGTTGAACTTAACATTTCTTTGGCAAGGATCAATTGTTTTTGAATTTCAGCCACGTTTTCATTGAGTTCTTCCAATGCAGGCTTCACAGGCAATTCTTGCAACGCTGGAATTGCGTGAGAAATGTCTTTAACGGTTTCGTATTCGGTTGTCGACTCCACCTGCATGGCCGACAATAGTGATTTTTGGAGCTTTTGAAGAGGCTGCACCATGCTCGTTAAAACTACAGCTTCTTGTTCCTTCTTCTTGCCTAATAATTCACTTTCTTTGTCCATGGATAAGATTGTATCTTGCAGTTCATTAATCGGTTCGATTACAGTCTTGACGAAATCTTCTTTCACTTTTTTCTTCGTTAGAACTTCTGTAGCTTTTCTTACTTCCTGTTGTTTCACCACGGCTAATAATTTCTCTCCAACTTCTTCCACTGACTGTGCGAAAGCTTCCATTCGAGATTTCTCTTCGCCTGTTCTCAGTTCCTTTGCTTGATCTTGCTGAGAAGTTGCAATTTCTTGAACAGCTGCCAGTGATATCTTCATTTCTTCCAAGGACTTCTCAGCTGCCTTAACCAAGCTAACTTCGCTAATTTCTGCTGACGCTGATGCACTTTCGCTCGTTTGTTGTTGGATTATAGTTATAGACTTTTGCAATTCTTCCAAAACAGGTTGCAGATTCAATTTCTCCATAGAAACTTCGCTTTTCTTCAAATCTTTCGCAGTTTCTTCTTCCATTACTTTACCTTCCTGCACTGCAGTCAACAAAGCCTGCTCTAATACGTTCAAAGGTTCAATAAGAATGTTCAGATTCACGCCAGCTTGCTGTTCCTTTGGTGTCTGTAATTCTTCCACTTGTTGCATCTTCTCTTCCTCGATTTGCGACAGAGATTCGCGGAGAACGTGAACCGTGGTGCTAATCTTCTGAAGAACATCAACCTCCACCATCTTCGCCTGCTGTTTTTCAGCTTCTTTTAATTTTGTTTCCGTTTTCTGCTGACTAATTACCGCGCTGCATCGTTCTTCTAGCTGTTCTATCGATTTAGCAAAGTCTTTTAGAGCTTTTTCAGGTTTCATTTCTTCAGTTCGTTCCGACGAAACAGCGACTACCTGTTGAACAGCGGTAGCAGTTGCCTTCACTTCTTCGATCGCTTCGGTTATGTTCTTGGCAGCTTCCAATTTAGAAGATACCTCAGGACTCATAGCTAATTGCTCCTGAATGGCAGCGATGCTTTCCTTCAACTCTTCCAGGACTGGTCGAAGAACCATCGCTTTTGGCGTTTCTTCTTTCATCTCTTCCACAGCTTCCAACTTCTGACCACTTGCCTGCTGCACCACGTTCACCAGGGACCTCTCTAACGCCTCGAGAGGATGCACCAACGGAGTCAACGTCTGTGCGTTCACCTTTTCTGCTTCCAGTATGCCTACTTCTTGTACGGTCTCTTCCTGTATCCTCATAATGGTCTCACGCAGCGTGTGAACCGGCACGATAATCGTCTCGAGAACTCGTGCATCCAGTTTTTCAGCCTCTAACTCCACCACTGCTTCCTTCACCTCTACCTGCTGCTGACTAGCCACCGCCAAGCATTCCTCGAGTTCTTGCACCGATTTGGCGAAGTGCTGCAAGGCTGTCACCTTCTCTGTGTCTGATAATTTTTCTTCTTCGTTCGATTCGGCGGTGACCACGCTCTGAATGATCGTAAGAGAGGAATTCAGGTCCTGCAATGACTTCTCGGTAGCCTTCATGAGGGAAGTTTCCTCAATGGACACCGTTGTCGTCGTTTGCAGCTTCACCTGCTCCTGCACCGTTGCCACGCATTTCTGGAGTTCTTCCACGACTGGTGAAATGTCTAATTTTTCCAAAGATGTCTCGGGTATCTCCTCAGTTTTCTCGTCTTTCGCCGAGACTGCTTGTTGGACAACGGAAGACAACGAAGTTTCTAATTTTTGGAGAGGTTCTATTAGGACCTTCAACGCGTTTTCTGCTTCAGCTACTTTGGTGGAATCGAGAGCTTCGACTTGTTGCATCTTTTCTTCTTCTATCTTGCTGATGGCTTCTCTTAATACTTGAAGAGAACCAATAGCCATTTCTAAGATTTCTGTTTCAGGTTCTTCTGGTTTTTTAGCGACTAATTGGATTCCAACCTGTTGCTGAGAAATCACAGCCAAACACTGCTGACCGATTTCTTCCACGGACTTCGCAAAGGATTGCAAGATCGAAGTTCTATCTGCGTTTGATAGATCAGCAGTTTGCTCAGTCTCTTCGCACATTATCTCTCGAACAGCTGCCACTGAAGTCTTCAAATGCTCTAGCGGTTCTTCTATAGCTTTTGCAACAGATGACTCCAATTTTTCCCTTGATTCCCCTTTAGAAGGTTCCAAGGAGACTTGTTCTTGGATCACAGCTATCGACTTTTGCAGCTGTTCTAAAACAGGCTCGACGTTCATTTTCACAGAAGATTGGACATCCTTCATTTCTGAGGTAGATTCTTCTTTAATCGTGCTCATTTGTTCAACAGCTACAGATAGAGACTTCTCTAACTGTTCCAAAGGTTCGACCAAAGTGTGCAAGACATCTACTGCTTCTTTCGTTTCAGGCATAACTAGAGTTCCAGCCTCTTGTGTTTGCTGTTCGTCAAGTTTAGAGACTGTCTCGCGTAGAACTTGAATTGGACTTGTTATAGTCTCGAGAGCTTGCTGACCAAACTCTTGTACATCCAGTTTGGCCACTTGTGGCTGTTGCATGATACTCGTCTCAGCTTTCTTCTGACTAGAGACCACAGAACACACTTTTCCTATTTCTTCCACGCATTTAGCGAACGCTTTAAGAGCTGTCGTCTTCTTTTCATTTGTTAGTTCTTTGGTTTCTTCCACTTCGAGAGTCTGAATGGCTGTCACAGCGGATTTCAGGTTCTCCAGTGGATTTTCTATCAGTTCAGCGACGGAAGCTTCTACTTTTGTGCTGGATATGTCAAGCTTCTTTGGCTGAGAGGCTACTTGTTCCTCTATCACAACGATAGATTTCTGTAGTTCTTCTAAAATGGGAGCAAGCTCCAACTTCTCTGCAGAGGAAGCAGTTTCCTTCGTCTCTTCAGTACCTTCGGCTTGTGGCGCACTCACTGCTTGCACTACTGAACACAATAATTGCTCCAGTTCTTCCAGAGGATGAACCAAGGGTTTCAGAGCTTTTGCTGCCTTCTTACTCGTCTGATCCATAGTTTGCAACTCTTCTGTTTTCTGTTCTTCAACCTCGGAGGTAGTTTCGCGTAATAATTGAATAGGCTGAACCATCATTTCCAGAACCTGCTGTAATTCTTCTTTCTGGGTTGTTTCCGAAGCTTGAGCCTTAATTGTGGGTTGGCTGACAAATGTCATGCACTTCTCTCCCAGTTCTTTCACCGATTCGACGAACGTTTCCACAGCCAATGCCTTTTCCATTTTGGAAAGTGGTTCCGCACTTTCTGTTTCGGTGGTTACCATTTTCTGCACAGCACCGACCGAAAATTTGAGATTCTCCAGCGACTGTTCTACCTCTTTCACGACTGACGCTTTGCTTTCTGATGTTTTCACTTCTTCGCTGGCTTCCAGGATCACTTCTTCTTGAATCGTGGCGATGGATCTCATCAGTTCGTTCAGGGCATTGGCAACTGGCAATGACTGCAAGGGTGGACCATGCTGTTCCATTTCTTCCGCGACTTCTTTGATTTCTATAGTTTGTTGCTGAGCAGAGATATTCAAGGATTGCTCTAATTCCTCCAGAGGATGCATAATGGAGCTTAGAATAGCAGCAGCTGTCTTCATCGTAGACAGATCCAAAGCTTCAGTCTCTTCCAGTTTCTGTTCTTCGATCTTTGCAACCATTTCACGCAAATTTTGTATCGGACTGACTATTTTTGTCACGAGTTCTGTCTCTAATTTTATTTCTTCCGCGCCGATTAACTTTTCCTGCTCGACCATTTTAGCTGACTCTAACGTAGGCGGAACGAGATCAAGAGGAGCGGTTTCATCGGGTTTTATCTGTTCCTGTGAGGCTATGAGAACTTCCATAAGTTCCTCCAGAGGCTTCGCTGTCGTTTCTTCGATGTCCAAGCTTTGCTTTCTCGACTTCGTTGCCATCTCTTTGATCTCTTCGACTACTTTCATACGCTTCAGTTCAGCCGTCTTGCGTATCACTTTTACGAGTTCAGTAATTGTTTCATTTATGCTTTGAGTGTTCGTGGACAATGGGAAGTACTCCGAGGAAAGTTGCGTGGCCGTTTGTTGGATAGAAGATAGTTCACGTAGGAGGGATTCCAGAGGTTCCAGAAGCATTTGCAGAGACACCATAACGTTTTCCTTCAATGCTGGTGCCAGGTCTTTTTGAGTCAAGCAGAGGACTTTTTCAGTAGCTTGATCCACGTTTATTAACGAGTCGAGGAGACGAAGAAATTGTGTTTGTAGTTCCGGGATCGAGGAAGAAGACAAGGTGTTCTTAATAGATATATTGGTAGCTTTTAAATCATAGAGGATTTGTATGAGAGCAGTCAGTTCACGAAGTCTTCGTTTTTCTTCTTCAGACTTTGAGGTAAGAGGTTCTTCTAGAGCCACAGTTAGGAGATTAGTTAGATCCTTGAAGGGTTGTTGCATAGTGTTAATCGATGACGCTGTTTTCTGAACGAGATTTATTTTAACCTGTTTGCTGTCTTCTTTCGATTTCTCTTCTTTAATTGCAAACTCGTCTACTTTCTGACTTAAAACTTCTATCGTTTCTTCTTGTCTCACTGCTTCTCCTGATTCTTTGGATGTTATGTCTGTGGTTTCTTCTTTCTCTACCACTTCTGTTGGTTCTTCAGATTTTTCTGCCATTTTTTTTTCTTTTGCTGCTTCTTCTACCTTTTCCGGCTTTTTCTCAATTTCTTCTTTACTTTCTTCAATTTTGGATACTTCCTCTGACCTTTTTGCCAGCGTTTCCATTTGTTCTTCTTTCCTTATTAGTTCTTTCGATTTTTCTTCAGCTTGTGCTGATTTAATTTCTGGCTTTTCCTCTTTTATTGCCGCTTCTTCTAGCGAAATTTCCACTTTCTCCACGCCCTTTGCCAATTCCTTTGTAGTTTCAGGTAAACTTTCTACTTTTTCTTCTGTTATTATTAATTCTTCTGTTTTTTCAGCTAATATTTGAACAGATTCTTCCTTCTTGATCGTATCTTCTGCTTTTTCAGCTTTCGATTCTTTCTGCATCACTTCTTCACTCTTCTCTACGCTCTCCTTTTTTTTGGCTATTTCTTTGGTTTCTTCTTGTATAGTATCAACTTTTTCTTCTACTTTTGCAGATATTACATCTGTACTGTGTTCTTTCGTCTTTATTTCCAAGGTTTCCTTTTCTTTTTCTTCACCTTTCACAACCTCTGCTGCTTTTTCAGATGTTTCTACTTTTAATGCTTCTTTCGGTAATTCATCCGCTTTTGATAATTCTGCAGCTTTTTCCCTTTGGACTTGTTCCTCTATCTTTTCTTCTTTGATTTCTGATATTTCTGTTGCTGTCTTGTCTACGACTTTTTCTTCCTCCTTCTTTGCTACCTCTGCTATTTCCGATACTACCTCAGGCTTTCCTTCTGCTGTTAACAATTGCTCCGTAGTCTTAAGAACAGCCTCTGCTGCTTCTTGTTTCATTGTCGTAAGATCTCCAGCTTTTTCTTCTTCCATTCCTTCAAGAGATTCAACTATTCCGACTTTTATTTCTTCTACGTTTTCTCCTTTTTTAATTTCAGAAACTGAAGCTTCTTCTTTTTCCTTTTCTTCCACGATTTCAACCTTTTCTTCTTTCGACACTGCAAGAGAATCAGCCTTGCCTTCTTGAATTATTTCAAGAGCTTCAACTTTTTTCTCTTTTTGTTCATCAAGTACCTCAATTTTTTCTTCTTTCATTCCTTCGAGCGTTTCAACCTTTTCCTTTTTTATTTCTTCGGAAGCTGTAGCTTTTTCATCTTTCTTCTCTTCCAGAATTTCGACTTGTTTTTCTGCTATCACCACAAGAGGTTCAACTTTATCTTCTTGGGTTAATTCAGTGGCCTTAGACTTTTCTTCTTCTATCTTTTCTAAAGCTTCCACTTTTTCCTCCTTCACTGCTTGAAGAGTTTCAATTTTCTCTTTTTTTATTTCTTCTGGAGCTGTAACTTTTTCTTCCTTCTTCTCCTCCAGAATTTCGATCTGTCCTTCTTTCGTTACTGCAAGAGATTCAACTTTTTCTTCTTGGGTTAATTCAGTGGCCTTAGACTTTTCTTCTTCTATCTTCTCTAGAGCTTCCACTTTTTCCTCCTTCACTGCTTCAAGAGTTTCAACTCTTTCTTTTTTTATTTCTTCAGGAGCTGTACCTTTCTCTTCTTTCTTCTGTTCTAAAACTTCTACCTGTTCTTCTGTCATCACTGCAAGAGGTTCAACTTTTTCTTCTTGGGTTAATTCTGTAGCTTTAGACTTTTCTTCTTCTATCTTCTCTAGAGCTTCCACTTTTTCCTCCTTTACTGCTTCAAGAGTTTCAACTTTCTCTGTTTTTACTTCTTCAGAAGCTGTATCTTTTTCTTCTTTCTTCTGTTCTAAAACTTCTACCTGTTCTTCTGTCATTACTGCAAGAGGTTCAACTTTTTCTTCTTGGGTTAATTCTGTAGCTTTAGACTTTTCTTCTTCTATCTTCTCTAGAGCTTCCACTTTTTCCTCCTTTACTGCTTCAAGAGTTTCAACTTTCTCTGTTTTTACTTCTTCAGAAGCTGTATCTTTTTCTTCTTTCTTCTGTTCTAAAACTTCTACCTGTTCTTCTGTCATTACTGCAAGAGGTTCAACTTTTTCTTCTTGGGTTAATTCTGTAGCTTTAGACTTTTCTTCTTCTATCTTCTCTAGAGCTTCCACTTTTTCCTCCTTTACTGCTTCAAGAGTTTCAACTTTCTCTGTTTTTACTTCTTCGGGAGTTGTAGCTTTTTCTTTTTTCTTCTCTTCTAGGATTTCAATTTTTTCTTCTTTCGTTACAGCAAGCGCTTCATCTTCTTTAATTATTTCAACAGCCTTAGCTCCTTCTGCTTTCATTCCTTCAAGTGTTTCAATTGTTTCTTCTTTCATTTCCGGAAGTATTTCAACTTTTTCTTCTTTTATCGCTTCAAGAGCTTTACGTTGTTCTTCAAGTACCTCAATTTTTTCCTGTGTCGTTAGTTCAGCAGCTCCAGCTCTCTCTTCTTTTATTAATTCAGAAACTTCAACCCTTTCTTCTTTACTTACTTCAAGAGCCTTCACTTTCTCTTCTGCCATTTCTTCAAGAGATTCAACCAATGCTTCTTTCATTTCTTTAACTACTGCAGCCTTTTCTTCTTTCTTTACTTCAGGAGCTTTAATTTCTTCTTCTTTTTTCTTTCCTACAAGAACCACATCTTTTTCATCTGTTTTAGTTACTTCAGGAGGCTTAACTTCTTTCATTCCTTCAAATATTTCTAGTTTTTCAGTACCTTTCATTCCACTCTCTTTAATTAAAATATCTTCTATATCCTTTAATACACTCTTCTCCTCGTCAATCTTTTCCAATTTTTTCTCTTTTATTTTTTCTAATTCTCTTTCAGGCGACACTTTCTCTATGGTCAACACACTTTCCACTTCCTCCTTGGAAACCTCAATAATTTCATCGATGATAGTCTCGATCTGTGTAATGGTAATCGGCACCCCAGACGAAATAATCTCATCTTCACCTTTCTTGTCCTCCTTCTTCTCTTCCTTTTCTTCTATCTTCTTCACATCTGCTACCCTTTCAATTTCCGTTATAGATTCCTTTACACTCTCCAAAACGTCCACCATAGCAGTTAACGTTTCCACCAACGAGGAACCGTCTGATGCACCTTCACGAATTAGCTGAACCCGATGAAGAGACAGAGAAGTAGCCAGCTCGGTTGTAGAACTAGCCAAAGCCTGAAGAAGAGTTACGAACTGGACAGAAACCGATGGTATCGCTTTCTGATCGATTTTTTCTTTCAACGTGTTCAGTGCTGATCGAAGCTGATTGGTCGGATAAAGGAATCCTTCGACGATAACTTCCTCGTCAATTGCTTGTTCGTTGTAAGTTTGCATGAAATACGTCTGTGACAAGGTAATTTGCTTTTGCAAAGCTTCCAAGGACTTTGAAATCACTTCTTTAATTGGCTTCTCTACTTTTTCCTCCAAGGTCGCAATTGTGTTCTTTAAATGATCGAACGACATCGAAAGATTATAATGAAGACTGAATTCCGCGCTGCTGGACCTTCGCGAGTAATCAGTTTTGCCAATCTGCTTCTGTACAGAGACAGTAGCGTTCTTCAAAGGGATCAAAGCTTCTTCGAACAACGTTGCTCCCTCTAGATTGGAAATTCTCTCTAAAACGGTCGAAGTTTGTCTTTGGAGACCTTCCACAGACTTGGAGATTACGTTTCTTCGCTCGTCCAGCAAGGCTGCCTCTGGAACTAAGCTCTTTCGACTACTTTGAACCACTGACAGACTGCTCAAGAATTCCACTAGAGGCTCAGCGAGACTTTGTAACTCTACAACAATTGCTCTTCGTTGGTCTAACAGTTGTACTTCCTGAGAAGTGACTTTGATGGTGTTTAATAAGTAATCGAAGGGTTGCACCAGGATTCTCGCTACGTCTGTCTCTAGGGTTTCTTCGTCCTGAATTTCGAGCATCTTCATTCGTTCCTCGATGTTCTCCAAAGGCTTAGAAATCTCACGAAGAGATCCAAGAAGCTCTTGTCTCGAATGTATGTCTTTCACGACGATTGGAACGATGTCTTTGATGTCTCTGAGTAGATTGAAAATCGGTTCACAGTTCTTTTTTAACTCAGGATTTTGGCCAAGTTTCTGAATCGCATGATTGACTACGTCTGATTCGATTGCGTTGAGGGGTTGAATTAAATGGTTCAAGATTAAGAGTTCGTGAGCGCCGTGTTGGTGTGACTGTTGCAGGACTATCTGAAGATCGTTCAGAGGCTGTAGAAGATTTTGCAGCATGGAAACGGTCTGACTAACTACTTCTTCGTAGGATTCTACCGATCCTCCGTAGGTTCCAGTTGCCATTCTCATCATGAAGATCGTTTTCCTGAGTTCTTCCAGAGAATTTGCTAATATAGAAACTGGAATGGCAGTAATTCCAGCCGTAGGCTCTTCAAAGTCTTCCAAAATACCAGCTATGTCTAACCCAACGCTTTCTAAAGTCTTGGATAGCGAAATGATCAAACTCTTCGCCTCTTGTTCCTTTTTCATCTTTTCCACGTCTTCCTTTGACTTTGGTAGTTCTTCTATCGTCGTGACCAATTGTTCCGTTCTCTGAGAACTGACATCATCGACTGTGGTCTGTTCGACGATCGATTGTGCGAATTGTGTTTCAGGCAACAGCGTTGTGCTTTCCATTAGAGTGCCTTCGGGTATGGTTTCTTGAGAAGTGTGTGCAGTAACCAGTTCCTTCTCTTGAAGGATCGTCTCCTGTGGAATAGACTCTGCTTGAATGGTTTCTTGAGAAGTCGTTGCTTCCACCATTTCCTTCTCCTCGTGAAGAATCGTCTCCTGGAGGATGGACTCTTCCTGAATGGTTTCTTGAGAAGTCGTTGCTTCCACCATTTCCTTCTCCTCGTGAAGAATCGTTTCCCGAGGGATGGACTCTTCCTGAATGGTTTCTTGAGAAGTCGTTGCTTCCACCATTTCCTTCTCTTCCTGTATCATCGTCTTTACCATTTCTTTCAGTTCCTTTCTGTACAGAGCCTCTTTGATGGAAATAGGTATCTGGTTTTCGATTTCTTCCACTATATCGACTATAGGTTTAAGAGACTCTTCCTCAGTGTGGTCACGAAGGATGTCCATGATAGTCTGCACGAGATACTTCATCGGTCTACCCAAATCTTCCAAGGTAGTCAAGTCTGCCGGCTCGTGGTACATCGATATGGCATTTCGTAACCTCAGCAATGGTTCTCGAAGGTCTACCAAGGCTTCTATCAAATTTTCATCACTCGGTGGTTCGGAATACGAAGTTTCAATGGCAATCTTGTTCACGTCTCTCTTCAATTCATCTACGGTCGAACTCAGACCTGATTCTTCCTCGTCTTTCATACTATCCTCAGATGTAGTAGATAGCCAGTGTTTCATGGGGTCCAATGATCGACTGATTCTATCTGCCAGACCAAACGTTTGTACCTTTTGTCTCTTGGATTCTTCCTCCTTAGGAATCAATTTCTCTGCCTCCCTCCGAGCCTTCTTCTTTGACGCCTCTTTTGCTATCAGCGGCGTGTCCTTCTCTATTTCTTCCAAAAGCTCTAGGACTGGGAGGATCGTGTCTGTCTTCGCGTCACTGTTCACCATGCTCTGAACCAGAACCTTCAGCTTCTCGATTGGGATTATCAGATCCTTCAAAATCTGCTCTTCCTCGGGTTCGTGTTCTTGGGTCAATAAAGACCTCTGAAGACTCAGTAGAGATTCTTTCAGAAGATAAATTTGTCCTATGATCTGTTCGTCGATTGGATTCTTCAAATTGGCTATCGCCACTGCGGATGAGCCGATATTCTGTCGCAAGTCTTCAACACAGATAGTCAAACTAGAGGTGAAAGAAGGGAAACTCCTTTCGTGTCTTTCCAAGGTTGATGACAGAGCAAAGTGGACATTGCTTAGATTCTGATCCACGTTTAGATTTTCCAAGTAGTGTTTCGTAGCTTCGTCAGCTTCTATCAACTGAGCCACCGTCTTTGGCACCTGAATCTCGATATCTTCCATCATTTTTCGTAGTTCTGTTATCGACTTGAGAGTTTCCTGAGACTCACAGTGATGCATCACTTTGGATACGACCACCTTGAGTTTTTCCACGGGAACTGATATTTTACGAATCACTGGAAGTTCCTGAATCGTTCTTCCCTTCGACGCTAGAGTTCTTTGAAGCTCCATCAGAGGTTCTTTCAGGTCCATCAAACTGTTCAGTGTCTCGTCTTCTCTCAGTGTCATTGCTGTATGAGCAGTATCGGATACGTATTGTCTCAGCTCCACTAAGCAAGCAGCTATCTCAGAAGAGGCCAGTAATTTTTGAGAACTCGTTGCTCCATTGGTAACTGACTCCACCTCTTCTATGTTTTGTAGAGCAGTACTGAGAGCTGATTGCACGTCTATCAGAGAATCTAAAATCCTTTCTGTTAAATTTTGAGCCTCTTCCTGCGTCGTCGATTTCGAGGATGTTTCTTCCACTTCCTTCTCCGGTCCGCCAACGATCATCTCGATGTTGCGCACCATCTCCAACATAGGTTGCAAGGAACTTTCGTTCAGATTCGTTATCGCTGCTTTCAACTGGGAAAGGGCGGGTTCCAGAAGCTTGAACACCTGTTTGTCATTGTCAGCGATCGGCACTGAAGTCAAAGCGCATTGAAGGGAATAGAGAGGACCTTCCAGGTTCATTAACAATTCAACACTCGTCTCACGCTTTTGAGGCGTTCTCAGCCTTCTGTACATCTCGTCGACTCGATCGAAAATCGTGGAGAGTCGAGGATCGAGAGTACCAGCCACGTTTTCATACGACTTTAATGCTTCTTGAAGAGTCAGTCGAACCTCCTTCAGGGTATCCTGCTTGGGTTCCTCGACTGCCGATCTCTGCTCCTCGACTGTCTTCTTTACTCTATGCATCTCGTCGATAGTTAGCCCGACAGAATCTCTTAGAGATTCGATCAGCTTCGTACGATGCTCGGATAAAATACCTTTCGTCTCATAAGTCTCCAAAGCAGACTTCAAAGTATCTAGCTTAGCTTTTAACTCACGCGTTGGGAGTATAAGTTCGTCTACGATTTTAGAGGTCTCTTTCACCTTGGCTTCGATAGTCGAGAAACGACCGAGGGCTCGTGCCATGTCTTCTACAGATTTTGACAGAGATTCGACCACTACAGTGTCTACAGTCTCTATAGTTCCTTTAGTCGGGTCCACAGAAACGTCGTTCAGGAAGAAGTCTAACGTGCCGAGAATATCTTCCAAGCTAGCCACCAGTCTCGTAGCTCTTTTGTCTACAGTTAGGATGTTCCTGACATTGGCGTCCAGCTTGGAAACCGCAGATATCATCCTGATCAGAGCAATAGGTTTCTCACCTCTTGCCCGACCTGTTAATTCGAACTCTATCTTCGTGATTCCCATGAGAATCTCGTCCACAGGATCCGTCAGACTCTCTAAAATCGCGATCAGGTCCATCCTACGGTTCTTGACGTTCTCTTGGCGCTCTATCAATTCCATGCCACGAAGAAGCTCCTCTGTTGGTCCACCTATTGCTTCCAACAAAGAGATTCGAACGGTTTGATTCAACGACCTATCTCCTGCATTCTTCAATGCCTTCGTCTCTATAGAAGACACTTCCTCGCACAGACTTTGAATCGGTTTGATAATGTTCTCTGTCACTAACGCTTTACACTCTTCTTCGCTACCATAGTTCAGTTTGTTTTCCAGGCCATCGATGCAGACTAGGGTGTCTCGAACGACGAGAACAGGTTCCTTCAGCCTCGTCATGTTGTCCAGTAACCTCTCTTTATTGCTTTTCGTCAAAGACTTTTCGGATTCGCTGGTGGTCTGTTTCCTCTCGCTGGATTTGTCAGCTACGTCTTCCACGTAAGGTTCCTCAGTCTTGTTTATGGACTCTATGCGTTGCAGCATTTCGGTGTTAGCGCTCTCTGATCCGCTTCCTTTTCGTTTTCCATCGATTTCACTGCCGATCGAGGATTCCTCGGAGCTGCCTTTCTCTCTTTTGTGCTTCTTCTTTCTGTGTTTCTTCTTTTTGGCTACACCTGTGACAGAATCGAAGGAAGAATCTCCTCCTATGCCGTCATCTATGCTGGAACCAGCTGTCTTTTCTCCACTGAAGCTTCGTTTTCTTTCTCGATCGTCCTCGTATATCTTTTGAACTTGATTCTCTGAGATGGATAGTCTCGCTGAAGACAGTGCATCTGCGAAGGTGTCGCTGTCGTCTTGCTTCAACGAAGACACCGGAGACATTGGGGATCCTGGCGAAAATGGCTCGTCCCTTTGCGCACTGTGGAAGCTCTCTGACTCTATTTTTTGACTCTTTTCGCTTTTCTCGCTCTTGGAAGAAGAGCTGGACTTCTTTCTGGGGGGCCTCGTCGGCGGCTTTTCGTCTTCGTCTAAACTGTACGCGGCAGATCTCTTCAGGGAGCTGCGAGAGTCGTGTTCTGGGGAAGATAGGACCCGGGTTATGTCGTCCATGATGGAAACGTCCTCGAAGTCGGCTTCTGTGCGAAGATCGTCGCCATCTTCGGCGCTAACGAAGTAGTCTGGAGACACATCGATCACCACTGCCTCCATTAACAGGTTTCCAGAATTCGAGGACTCCTTGACGAATCGCATTGGAGGCAATTCGATCACGTTGTGTTCTATGAAAGGCAGTAAAGATGATTATTACTTTCGACAATTAAGTTTGTGACAATTTAAAGATTCTCAGTGGTCTAGGAAACTCTAGGTACATATATTACTGCACATACAGCGAAGTAAAGTTTAATAATTAATTTTGACGTGATTCACCTGTTACATGTTCGGATAATTGATCGGCGTACATCTCGACGATCTGAAGAGCTTCCTCCTCGGTGAGATCAGGCGTCTCGTACAAGCTGACAGAAACCTCTTTGCCATCGAAGCTGAAGGATACTTCTCCTCGATCGTCTAACGTGACGGAATGATCGGTTTGCGGTGTATCGTACAATTGGGACGTTCTTTCTTCGTGAATAGTAGACAGTGACAAATTCCTGGCCAGTTCATGTCCATTCGGCGACTGTGGTTCCTTTATCTCCTTTTGAACAGGTAACTTATCTGTCGAACGAAAGTTTTGGGCATATTTAATTCGTAAAAGCTTGATTCCCTATTAAAATAATTCCAAATTGGTTTTCAAAAGCATTTCAAATACCCTCGAAGCCAAGCAGGGACGCGGAACTGCTGACAGTTCCCATGCAGTTGGTCGCTTCGCACGTGTACGTTCCTAAGCAACAGGTGCCATCCTGTCCAGAGATGATCCTGTGGATGTCACCTGGCTTCAGCTCGACACCATCTTTGTACCATTTGAGGATCGGTTGCGGCACACCGATCACTTTGCACTCCAAGTTCACCGCACCCTCGTCTGACAAAATGGCGCGCAGACCCTCGAGAAACTTCGGTTTCTTGTAGTGCTTGGGAATGATTAGTTTCAGAAAACAGGAGGTGACGCTTTGTCCGTGATCGTTGGAAGCCACGCACTTCCATTCGGCCTACGACAATGCGTTTAATTATGACTCCCATGCTCTGATTCGCTTATCGTCTTCCTCGCAAACATTTATACTCACTTGATCGGCAAATTCTAGCTTTTGTACATCGAGATGACAAGTGCCAAGATTCTCCTTGGCAACCTGATATTTCTCGTTCTCGTCCACTGGCATGTCGTCCCGATACCAAGCAATGCTTGGCTCTGGGGAAATACTGACTGCGAAATTTAGAAAGACGAACGGCCTTGAAATATAGCATTCATGAAAATCTCTTATATTTATAATCAAATCATATACCCTAGAAACGTTACCCGAATATTTAGGAGGTTGAATACCGTATAGACTTTACCGTGGATTATCATTAAAGCAGCAAGACGTAGCAGCTTTAATTTTTCATAGGGAATCGTATTTTAACGATGCAGTATTTTGAAATTCGTGATAAATTTACAGATCGGGTTTCGTAACGTTACCTTGTATCGTAAATCGAAAATCTTCGTTGATCCTCGCCTCGCAGCTTCTAAGACCTTTGATGAAAATGGGCGGCTGATTCGTACTTCTTCTTCGTTCAATTGATTCTGAATATCTTCGATCGTTAATTCGGCTGTACTTCTTGCTTCTCCCATACAATTCCTTGCAATGCAACAGTAGGAACCTGATGAAGGGACGAATATTAGAAGCGAAGAGGGAATGCGAATTTTCAGTGAAATATTAACCCTTTGCACTTGACGATTTTTTGACCAAACGAGGATAGGGCTTCAAAGATTTTCTGTTACGAAGCTGAGGATATTTTTCTGAGCAGTGGATAAGAAATCGTATGATAATTAACACGTAGAATTATTTGGTTTCGTTAGATTATCTGAAATTTTACATATTTCCGAATATTGAGCTTCGAAATTTTATCAAATGGCGACTGAAGGGCGCCTCTCGAGTGCAAAGGGATAACAAAACGGATCGATACCTAAGGAGTTGGTCCCGGTTAATTGATAAACATCTCCTGGTTTTAGTTCCTGGCCGTCTTTGAACCACCTCAGCAAAGGCGTGGGGAATCCTACTACCTTACATTCGAAGGACACCAGACCTTCTTCTGTTAGGACAGCTTTCAAGCTTTCCATGAAGCGGGGTTTCCTGTAGTTCTTTGGAACTTGACGAATAAAATATTAATTAACGTGACTCGACGCTAAATTTACAGTACCATACCGATATTAATCAACACTCGTCTATCTTCCATAAATATTCTAATTTCTACATATTAATGTATAATATTAAATATTATCTTCCAGTCTTTGTAATATTTTTCAAAATATTGCAATAGAAGTAATTTTTAATTTTTGATAATATAATTAATTTTGCTCCAGGTTTTTCAATTATTAGAATTGAATTTTGCAGTAAACAGATTTCTGTACTTTCTACTTACTGGACATTGCAACGTAGCAAGTAGTAAACTGTTTCATATCTTCAGCGCTCGTGGCGACGCACTTCCATTCACCCTCGTCCATGGCTTCTACAGGATTCACCGCTATGAAGTATCCACCAAGACCATCCTCCATAACGTGGTACTTCTCGTTGGGCTCGATACGCCCTTCCTTGTTGTACCACGTAATTCCTTTCGGCCATGGTGGTACTTGGACTTTTGTATGAGGAAAATCGAACAGGTAACGGCAAATAAGATTAATTTTATTTAACTAGATTGATTAAATGTAGATGTGACACTTTCAAAATATTATTACTATTTGATTTTATCGCAATATTTTGACGCGATGTGAACCATTAGGAGAAACGCTATAATGGAATTCTTAAAAATTACGTTTATTACGTAATAATAAAAGTCTGAACATCACGACTTTCAGAGAAATAAGAGAAAGGGAAGAAAGTAAACGGATATACCTTGACAAGAAAGCCGGAGAGTGTCCCCAATCCTGCAACATTCGTCCTGCAGACCCTTGGTGAAGACAGGAAGAGGACCGGATGGTGTCAAGGAGTCAGCTGGTTTTAGAGAACCTTCCCTGCTGCCTTTTCCAACTACATGTACCTAAGGAATTACATTCGGACCATCGTTTATGTCGGGAGAGTTATAGAGAATATTAAAATATTCATTAGGTTCATAGATTTTCAATTTTGCGTTATTACAGATAATGTCCAACAAATTTTAATTTTGTGATTAATGTAAGTTGTTGAAAAAAAAAATGTTCACCTAACTTTTAACGTAGGAATAAATCTTTTAACATTTGTACTTTTCGTATAATACTTCAGTTCGACTAAAAGTACAGAGGAAATACAAATATTTTATCATACATATAGGTATCATGGAAATTTAGCCCATGGAAACGCGAACGCAATTATAATTTATAAAAACAAATAACTATCAAATTTAATATTAATAACAAATTAATATTGTTAATATCAAATTGTTCACAACGTAAGTTTATAATAAAAGTTAAAAAATTAACAAATTACTGGTTATTACTTGAACTTATAACGCTTTTACGTTAAAATATACCTATAATTTATAAAAAGTTTATAAATTATTTATTTATGTCATTTTACTGTTTCGTTTCTCCCGCCTTACGCGTCACGTGGTTTTCAATTCTGTAACTTCGATCAGCGCCATCTATGATTTTGGACCAAATGATCAGGAAAGTGATAGGAATATAGAATGCGCAAGGAGGTCGTCTATACCTGGTCACGTGGTTAGATAAGGACGGAAGGCGGGTAGAAAAAGACAGAAAGGCTCCGGCAGAGAAAATTAACTAATTACTCAATTCCGGCTAATAATTTATGAACTTTTATAACCTTGTCGAAAAGCTGAAACTCTGAGCAACATTCTCATTCTACTTTTGTACATAATTTGTTGCTGATTTAAATGTTATTAATAATTATTTGGCGGCGTGGGTAATTTAAAAACAACGCCGAACATGATGGTCGGTCAAATTATTTAATTGTATTAAAAATTAGAAGAAAAATATGATCGAAAGTTATATGAGAAGATGCGCAAGAATATTCTTTTTATAATGAATGCATAAAAGTCAGAAATTAATTTCTTGAAAGAAAGTTATTAATGAGAAACCATTGATATATTCGGCAATATTTCGAACACGCCGTGAAATAGTAATTAATAATCAATTAATTAAGAAGAAGTTAATATCGAAAAGTATATGTGAAAGTTCGCCAAGGATCTGGCTTTACGGTGAGATTATAAAAGTTCATAAATTATTCACAGAAATTGTGTAATTTGTTAAATTTCCGTGGCCGAATTGATTTATTAGAAACCTCAGGTTCCGTAAGACGAGCACAGATGGCGCCAGGAGAACGCTTAAACCACATATCGTGATGGCGGACCAAAGAAAAGAATAAAACGACATAAATAAATAATGCACGTTCTCTTTCCTTGTTTTTATTCACTTAACAACGCCATAAAGTTTTTTACATTCTTTAATAAGTTCAGCCCACGGAATGGTTTTAATTGGACAGTCAGCATTCTCTTCTCTACCTGGCAGACGAGAAATCTGCAATGGTACGTATGTCAATACAATGGTAAAAGCTCCTGTATTATTCACCGAAATTGACTAATTTGTTAATTTTTCTCCAAGAGAACAGGAGAGTGCATAGAAAATAGGAAAAGAATTGCAAGAAAACGCAAGAAACATTGTTGCGTCCATGGAGGTATGCCTGCATCAAGCAAAAGAATGTAAGTTTTTGTATTAACATAACCTTAAGTTGTAATTAAACAGTGTAATATATAAGCCATTGTTTTTCTATCTTTTATTAGTGATAGCAGAGCCTGATTGTAAAATGACAATATCCTGTTGAAGTGAATGGACACGTGCAACAGGAAAAAAATATTGGACTCATGGAATATCATCAGCATAGAGTCACTAGGTGCCAAATTATTTTTTATGCGAAGAAAATATTAAAACAGTAATGCAAGTATGGAAGGTTTGATATGTCCATTTGATTTTAGGTTGGCTGGCCTTATAACATACAGGATAGACATATTTAATGGAGAAATGAAAATTGAGAAAAAGAAGATGGATGTGGCAGATAAAAAGGGATTAAAATTAAATTAGGTGATGTTATCTTGTATCAACATGATATGGTGAGAGGTACATTGTGATCCTGATCTGAATAAATATTGATATCAGTGGTCAAAGCCACTGACGAACGCCTAATGTGTTAAGTTTCAGAAAGTTGGAGCTAAATTGTATAAAGAAAAGGGAAAAGTTCAAGTGAAAGCAGTGAGAACAGGAAATACATAGTATGTAAAATCAAGAAACAGAAAAGAGGCAGCATATCTATAAACAGATAAAGATGTGTGACATCGATGATTGGGTCATGCAAATATGAGAACCATTGAAGAGATGGAGAATGAACAATTGGTAAATGTTATAAAAGTTAAATATAAATTGAATATACCGTGTAAATGTTGCACTAAAGCACGAATGTGTAGAAATATTTATAGGAACTTGAAAGCAGTAAAAGCAGCAGTAATAATGGGGCTGTGACACATGAAATTGATTGGGCCAGCGAAGCCAATGTTCAAAGGAGATAAAGGTATGTCTTATCTGCTAATGATGATTTGAGAAAAGAACCATTTGATTGACTGATTTATAAATGACTAAAGATTTAATATGAAATATTATTGACAATGGATATTTTTTATTATAGGAGACTTACAAACATGAGTAATATTTATATGTAAGAACCTGCCACTAAGGGTAAAATAGTAAGTATTAGTTAATAATGTTTCAACAGATTGTATATCTGTTTTTAAGAATTTAACCGATATACAATATTTACTTTCTAAATTTCTATATTAATATATCAAATAATTTTTAGTTCGAGTTGCAATAATAAATAATAAATTTTAATAAATTTGATTTTAAAAGTATTATACATTAATAAAACTAATATATTTGTTATAACTAGGTTGTAATGAAAACAACTGTTGATGATAATGAGTCAGAATTATAGGCCAAAGAAACTCCGAAGACATGTAGAAATTTCATACAATTATGTATGGAAGGTTATTGGGATAACAATATATTTCATACACAAGGTGGTGATCCTACAGATACAGGAGAAGATTGTAAAATATATGGAGAGCCATTTAAAGTGAGACTATATTTGAAAATAAAATTAATTCCTTTTTTATTCAAAAATAATTATTGGATATATGTGTTTTAGGACAAATTTCATACAAGATTACGTTTTTGTCGACGAGATT